TATAAATATCAATAAATATATTAAAAAATGAAATATGTCTATATAATTTGGTATTTATAAATAAATGATGCTGTAAAGCAGAAGGTAAAATAAAAAATCAGACAAAATATTGATTTGCATTGATATTAAGAGAATGATGTATTGGATAAAATTAGACATTGACATGTTGCAATATGTTTCTATTTTGTAATGGAAATCTTTATTATCAATAATCAATCAGGTTTGATAAATGAAATATATGTAAATTTTAACCAAATTTATTATACACATATAGAGAAAACCTAAAGAGAATCTAATAGGCATATCTTATTACAAATTGATGCCGTTCGACATATAGAGCTCAGCTGCTGCGTGCAAAGTTTTGCTCTAATTGTGAGAGAAATTGGATATTCATTTACCAGATATAGTAGCCTATAGGGTAGTTACATATGTCGCATGAAATCATCGTTTTTCTTTTTGAGCACATTCCAACAAAATTGATACAGTATTTGGAGAAAAGTAGAAAAATAAATTAATGTAAGCGTGTAAACATCTTTTTTTCATTTCTCTTTTCTCTATTTTTGAGATCAATTGAGCATAAAGATGGTACAGCGCAGCACAAAATTCACCGGCATCTGCATTGCCATCTATTTGGGGTATACTCTGTTTGTGTTCTTAATATTGCCTCTGATGTTGCCCGATCCGGTGACAATGTCGCGCAACATACTTTTCCAGCAGACACAGGATGCGAAGGAATATAAGAATTTCACGAACTTCACTTTGGAGTCTGGTGGCCAGCCAGTGCGTTCGATTCTGATCACATTTCATGGCTCAGGCTTATCGGGTTTATTGGAGAATTTGTCCCGTCTGCCGGGGGCTTACCATCACTTCTCGCCTCTGATAGCGTACAAGGAGCGCATCAAAGTGATGCCGCAGGCGATGGCCGCGGTGGATGAGTTGCACTCCTTGTTGAATTGTGACTATAATCGTTCGCTGGAGATGATCAAGTATGGCATGAAATCGTCGACATTTCGAAATTTGTATGGTATGCAGTGGAAGACGTGCCTCACCTACACCATGGAGGTCTGTTCTAAGCCGGAAACATTGTCTCGAATTTGCAAAATATTTCCATTCATCAATATGTCTGTGTATAACTTGGGTCTGTTATATCTCAAATCCTTGCTGGAGCTTGAAGAGTGAGTATCGAATAAACATGTATAAAAGATAAAAGATATTTCATACATAATCATACATGTATGTATGTATGTATATATTTTATTATTCAGCCTCAATGTACGTATGATATTGATAGTACGAGATCCTCGTGCTACCATGAGTTCGCGTGACGGTCATATCTGGTGCTCTAGTCACTCCTGCAGACAGCCTGAGGATCTCTGCAATAATATGGTGGAGGATTATCAAGTTGCTGAGGATTTATTGAGAGAGTATCCGCATCGTTTCAGGTATATTCACCGAGTTTAAATTTGGAAGTTTTGTACGTTTTTTGGTTTGTTTTTATTTTTTAGCATTGTTCGCTATGAGGAACTAGTGCAGGATCCGCTGGACGGTGTAATAAACTTATATAATTTTTTTGGCCTGCCAACGAAAAGCCTTGTGAATTTAAAGCCAAATTTTACTATTTCTCAAGCTTATTTAAAATATAATTTTGAAATGCCATATTCTTGGAAACATAGATTGACCTACAATAAGATTCTGAATATCCAAGTTGTCTGCAGGAAGGCTATGGCCCTTTGGGGCTATAAACCAATAACAGAATTAGTTGAAAACATGACTAATATCTTTGTACCGTTGAAGAAGTTGGCATTGTTTTTGAAGTAACGTCTGCAGTTCTTGAAGCAAACTGCAATTGAAATAATAACTAATTATCTACTAGCTGTTATCTATATGGAGAAATGATAAAAAAAGAAAACAGGAAGAAAAACATTGCATCATTTACAGTATTTTTATAGCAATGATTTTGAAATATATATCCAATATATAAAAAAATATCTATAATTTATCGACTGCAATCGATAGTCGACTTTGCAGTATTTTTCTATTGGACCATATTTGGTGTATTTTAGTACAAAACGCCTTACGTAGGCACTCGGACAACACAGCTGTTCATTCAGTTTTCACAGCTCTCGGAAAGCTCGTCAAACGTCGCATTAGGTTTCGACGCGACAGTCGGGTCAAAATAATTAATAAGATATAAAACGCGTACGAAATTACTAACAAATTGCAATGTTTTGCGCACTTGGAAAATGTTAATAAGTATTACTCTGCGATAAATTTGTTGGTGTGGTCGTTTAGGCGTGCGTATATATGTATGTGTGTGTATGATTTGTTTGTGAATATGTAAACAAAAGTGAATAGGTGTAAAGTTGAAAGCGTTAAGTTAAGTGCTAAAGTGTCTAATTAATTTAAGTAATATCAAATGAGCACAAGCGATCTAGACTTGGAGTCCTGCGCGCTATTGACCGGCATTACAGTCGAAACTGCCGCCAACGACTCCAACGCTAACGCTAACGCCCCCGCCTTAGCCCCGCCCACTGTCAGGACACGCACTAAGCAGCGCATCAGCTTAAATTCAAAACGTCGACGCAGCCGCATGTCCCGACGCGCAAATCTCATTGGCATCTGCGGCATAAGCAGTTTGTGCATACTGCTGCTGATTGCCACCACGCAGCGCCGTCCCTCCATGTCTCCCTTCAGCAGCAGCAGCGCTGGAAGTGTAGGTGGAAGCAACAGCGCCGCTCTCGCTTCCAATCAGCTTCCACGCAGCAGCTACTATGAGCGGCAGCAGCAGCCATCACAAACGGCCGCCACAATTTACAATATGACAGCGACCATAGTGGATGTCCTGGCTGGGCAGCGTGCGCGCATTCTCCAGGAAATGGAAAACTTCGAGTATCCGCGCGGCGGTGCCGAAAAGCTAAATGATATGACACCCGAAACGGGGGGCACACCAGTGCGGAGCATTGTGGTCACCACCTGGCGTTCGGGCTCCACGTTCCTGGGTGACATTTTAAATGCAATGCCCGGCAATTACTATCACTATGAGCCACTGTTAGATTTTGGCATTAAACAGGTGCGCGAGCCTGAGGAACAACAGTTCGCTGTACAAAATCTTAAGAATTTGCTCAATTGTGATTACGCCGATATGTCCGACTATTTGGAATATGGCAAAACGCACACTTATTTATTTGAACATAATCAACGATTGTGGGAAGTGTGTCGGGAATATCCACGCTTCTGTTGGCGTCCCGCCTTCTTGACGCCCTTCTGCCGACTCTTTCCCATACAGAGCATGAAGACGGTGCGACTGCGTCTTGCTCAAGCCGAAGAGCTGTTAAAGGATGAAAGGTGAGTTTTTGAAAGAATTTAAAATATAAATTAGTTAAAATAATATTTCAACTTAAAACCTGTTCAGTTGCCGATATATGTATGTATATTCAAATTATATTCTGGAGATTATCGTAGTGATTTGAATTGTATATTTAAAATAGCTTTAGCAGCGTTTCTGGTACATTCGTCTGTATTCTATGTGCTTAGCGCATTTGGTCACACTATTTCGTATTGACCAAAAATATTAGCTTAATGTTACAGAAACAAGCACAAAGAGGAAGAGCGAGAGAATGAGCAGTGCAGAGAGCATTTTAAGTCCGATCGCGTACAAAGAAAGTGAAAGGCGATGCCGCATGCGCAAATTGCGCATCCCTCTTTGACACGCGTCTTTGAAGCTTTTGCTGTCGTTGTTGGTGTTGCTGTTGTTGCTATTTGCGGTTTCTCTGTGTGCCATCTCGCTCACCCATTTAACTAATTCGTGTGTCAGTTGTTATTGCTGTTTGTTTCCCCCACACATCAACGTTATCTACTTTATCTTAATTTGAATGTGGTTTGATTTTGTTGTTTAGCTGCTGTTGAGGTACATACTAAAATTACAAAGTAAAAGCTCTTCAAGTTTATCTTAGTTTTTTATTTGTTTTTGTATCTTTTTTTTTTATGTAAAAGTTTACAATCATAATGTTTTGTACATGATGTATTTTACTTTCAGTGAATTTAAGAAAACACGTGAGAGATGGATTTTCCATATTGCTATTCGATAGAAAAACCCTGATCGATATTCATATATAAGTCAATGGGTAATTAGCTGGATTTTCGTTCAAATTTTGTAGTATTATTATCAATGCTGCGATAAGATAAGACATTGAATAATTTATGTATTTCAATCAATATTATCTAAGCAATATAATTATGCCACCTGCTTTACATTTTGCCTGATATGTCAAAATAATGTTCTAATAGGTATTTGAATAGGAGAAACCCATACCTAATTACTATATAATGTTCAATGTTATGTAATCAATCAATAATAATTATTACTGCTATGTGGAAATTTGAAATGGGCATATATGTATCTGTACACACATGCAACATACATATACATATGTATGTATCGTAACTTTGAGACATTTCCTGAGCTAATTAATTGTATTTCATGAATTACTATATAAAAAGAAAAAATATTTTCAATTTATTTTTTTTTTTTAAATTGTATATATTCACAAAGTTTTTGAAATATATATGCAGAACTAATAATATTTTTGCATCATTGCAGTAAACGAGAAATTTAGATATACTGCACTTTAATAGCCGTTAACTTTTAATTATGTGTAAGGCAAATGGTTTGACTAAATAATCTTAAGTAAATTGATTGCTACTAGTTTTCGATTTGACTGCCAAGTCTCGTTTACATAATACTCTATTTAAAATCGATGGCAAACAAAAACTTTGCACAAAATCAATATAATATTGTAAGTAGTGTGTGTGTGTCTATTTGAGTATGTGTGTGTGTGTGTATTTGTATGCTAAGGGATTCACTGCAAACAAAGCGATGAGGAGAATGTAAACAGAAACCGAAAACGTATTTGATTGATGTGCTTTCTATTTTTCGACAATTCTATTGCTTTACATATATATGTATGTATAAATATACATGCTTATATACAGATATATATATATATATATATACATATATCTCATTTATTGTATATTGTGGTTTCAGTTACAAGACATTTAGTAGCACTCAAAGGACGCATTATTATTGTATTTGTAAAAGGTATTAAATTTAGCCAAGATGTGCTGACACTTGGAGTTGGGTTTTCGATTCAATGCAAATTGATTGAAATGGATGAATAGAACGATTAGAATTCGATACTCCAATTGAAGTTGAATGCCAACTGAGGTTTGTGCTCTAAAGGTATTCGATATTTATATTATTTAAGTAATGCTTGATATATTATTTGAATAAATTAACTAAAATAGATTATATATATTATTTACAAATAATTGTACAACATAACTTTATCGCAGTTGTTTGCATTTGGCTCAAATAGCAGCGCTTTCCATAAGAAAAACTCTTCAAATATATGCTATATCATCACTTAGTAAACATCTCTAATTATCGACTGTAGTATATTTACCAAACATTTAAAAATATATTTGTTCATAATTTATACTTCAATATTTACTGCAAATAACTTTTTTATATATTGTCCATCTTGTCCATCTCTGATTTAAGAATGTCTGCTGTGATTAGCTATATTATTTTATTTGACTAGGTGCGTGGGGGCGTGTCTCCAACTGCTTTGACAACTCGCTTAAACAGTTAAACATTTCACGCAGCAATTTGCAAAAAGCAATTAGCATACGAAATGAATCGCTTGGTATATGGCCAAGTCTAGCTGGAAGCTATTGCAAATTCTTCTAACTAAA